CTGAGATCTTTGATTTTTTTCCAAAAAGACTATTCAATTCGTTTTTTCGGTTTGTCTTAAAGTCAGAGTCCAGATAATTATCTGGAGCCCCCTCTGAGTCACTCAATGGATCATCTTTTGTGCCAATCTCTAGACTATTTACTTTCTTCATTCTCTCCTCTAGTGGAAGTAATTCTGAGCTCTTCTCATGGAAACTTCTGGGATGGCTCAATTGTAAATCTTTGCTACTTTGACCCTTAAACAAAGAGATCCATGAAAGTCCATAAGTGGACTTTGACTCAGATATCTCGGAAATTTTTGTTTCAGGACTCATCCTTGATGACAGAGACTCATGGACTCTGCGGGGCAGACCCCACCGGTGTTGAATAAGCCTTTTCTGAAGGTGGTGCTCTAGCTTCTTCCGAAGCTCTTTTTTGAGGGGAAAATCTCCCAGAATGATGGTTGTTGGAGCATAAGCCTTGGAGGACCGTCTATCAGATAAAACACTGGGAGCTGCAGGACAAAACTCTTCCTTGGATTTTTGAACCACAGAGGGTAAACCCCACAAACTTTCCTGTCCTTTCTGTAATACATTATATTCCAAGTCATGAATTTTGGATGGCATGAGAGAGTGTACCTCATCCTGGAATCTATGAATCCTCACTCCACCATCACTAACCTGAGATGAAATGGGTGGTGACAAGGTAGGGACTGAAAATTGAAGCTGGTCCTGGGGTGGGACAGGAGATTGGCACTGAAGCTGGTCCTGGGGTGGGACAGGAGATTGGCACAATGCTTGGGTCAAGGGTTGAGATTGGATCTCAGGCAAGGACAGAGTTGGGGGAGGGGGTAGAACTAGAGATGCAGGGGCTTCAAAGGAACTAGGCATTGAATTGAAGCAGACATAGGTTGAACAGTCACCTGATTCAGGTACTATAGATTTCAAGGACTCACTATGCAAAGATGGGAGACCCCAGAAGAATTGGGTACATTTTTTAGGTAAGTTATCCTCAAAGGTCTTAGGATCTGAGGACTGGTGGTCTACCTGCAATCCCTCTGATTTGCCTTCACTGCTCTGTGAAGGAAGGGAGACAGGTGAGTCCTGTTGCTCAGCAACTGACTCTAACCTTTTCCCTGAAGAATTCAATTGGTCGTCTGGCTTAAGTTCTTTTGGAAAAGATTTTGTTTCCTTTTGCTTTTTGTTCTGCATCAGGAAATCACCCTTCTTTTTTATATGTCTCTCCAGAAGGGCCAAGACATCAGGGCATAGAAATGAGAGGTTTCCGGGCTCTACAAGGATGGCTGTAGTATCATTCTCAAAAGAGGCCTCAGGAGGATGGAGGTCGAGGAGGTTTTTGTCATCATCAGAGTGCTCCAATTTAGATGGAGACAACTTTTCAGCTTGAGACTGGTTTCCAGAGAACTCTGAAACTGGAAGGCTTGCACTGTCATTGCATGTGGTTGTTGGGACATTAGTAGACATCCCATCAGGGATATCCACCAGAGACAAAGGGGCTTCTGGTTGGAGAACAGGTTTTGCT